TTTTGAAAAGTTAGCCTCTAGAGAAAAATATTCGAGATAAACAGAGCAGAAAAGAAACGAGCCGTGTTCCGCGAGTAAACACCTATTTCCTCGCAATAACGATAAAGATAGGCAGCCAAAGTCGGGTATCGTTGTAGGGTCGAAACTCAGTTAAGGTCACGCTTTGCTCGTAAAATTCAATTTCGTTGTTTTTCTTCTCGGTTTTCTTCCGCGACGAAACGCAATTAGAAAGAGCGAGAGCAAGAGAGAGAGAGAGAGAGAAATGGAGGGAATGGAACGGGAGCAGTTGAACAAGACCGAGTGAAATGGACCGGCTCGTCAAAGGGGGAGGGAGGAGAGAGAGAGGTGGGCGGAAGGTGTTTGCCTCTCTCGGACGCTAACGCCCCGCTCCTTTGCTTCTCTAATTTTCCAGCCTTTTCTTCCTTCTCGCAGTGTCGAGCGTTTAATTAACTTGCTCGTTCGCTCTTCCTCTTTTCTTCCTGGCATCGAGTGTCATTCTCAGCCGACGATAAAGCGTAAATTCGCGCGTTCACGGCTCGTGTGTACGCGTACTCGAAAGAATTTCAATTTACCCGCGTTACGTTACTAAATGACACGAGTAAACTACTATGAGGGAAGAAGGGAAAAGAAAAAAAAACGCGTCGACGAAATTTACGCGTCGTCGAGAAACGAATTTGCGTGATGCGATGTAAATAAAAAAAGTGCGAAAAACAGATTAAATTCGGAGATAAATAAAAGCGGAGAGACATTGAATGATACATCGAATAATAGATCGTACAAAATGGAAGAAATATTTACAAATATATATTTATATATATATTATATAACGTATATTATATAACGTAACACAAAGAAGATCAAAAATTCTTCTGTTCTTGTTCGAAAAAATTAATAAAAAGAGAAAGATTTACTCACGGCATGATCGCAATCCTTTTAATCGTTTAAACTTAATACATCGCTTTTCTTTTTTTTTCGATATCTACGTGAAATTCGACGAGCAAAAGTATTTATTATTCTTTCTCGCTATTTCTATCTTTTTTTTATTTTTTCCTTTTTTTTTAAATCATTCTTTATGATTTTTACCTATCGAAAAATTCGAAATAACTGTTACGAAAAAAAAGATCGAAAGAACGAAATTATCGATGTATAAAGGACCAAACTAAATATATATATTGCGCGTGCCGTGTATGAACATCGATCGTATGCGCACGTGTGTCATAGAACACACGTCGTAGATGACAAGTGTGATTTAAGTGATAAAGATTTAAAGTCAGTACGAGCGTGGAAAGGAAAATGTTTCGCGCGAACGCGTTGTATAAATTAGAAAAAAAAAAGAAAGAAGAGATTTCAAATTTAAAAAACGTGATTCCTCCAACGATGGGCATAATATCGTTTTCTCTTTTCTCGATACGAAAAATTCTCGAAAGTACGAATCTAAGCAAGATCCATCGCTAAATTCGATTCGAACCACGATCATAAAGGGTAAAAGCGAGAGAGAGAGAGAGAGAAAGAGAGAGAGATGCTTCTCTTCTTTCCTTCGCGTTTAGGTCCCTTTCCCGGAGGAAAATAAACAGATACATTGTCTGTGCGCACATAGAGAGCGGTACGTATAAGATATGCGTGGTAATGCTTAATATCGACATACGTCTGCAAACACGTAGACATTCAGAGGCACAAATAGCGGTCCTTGCGATCAAGCCGCACGTGGATTGGGATGAGAAAGCTTGCCGCGAATTGTACCAGAGAAAGAGAACGAATGGATGTCGAAAGATCGAGGGAAAAGTGGATGCGCATCGAGGACGAAGGAACAACCACCTGTTTCGAAATATTTTTTTGCGCATCTATTTCCTCGATCGTACTTGCGAAAGTCGGTTACGGTTATTACTCAACACACACGAGTATATATATATATATATATATATATATATATATATATATAANTATACGACTTTCGCAAGAAGGGCAAGCTTTTTTTTGAAAGTATATATATATATTTATTTTATTACAAGGAATAAAAACAGAGAAGTGAGAAAAAAGAAGTAGAAATAGAAGAAGAGAAAGAGGAAGAAAAAGAAGAAGAATAAAAGGAAAAAGAGAAGATAGAACGAGAGAAAAGATAAAGGAGAAAGAGGAAGAAGATCAGTAGACGAAGACAAAGCAACACCACGAACAGACGGTAGACCATAGACAAAAAGTATACGATCGGCAATAATGTGCGACAGTGTTTGTGTTCTTTTTTTCTTTTCGTGTGTCTGTGTGCGTGTGACTGGTTACGTGTTCTCGTTTTTTACTTTTTTTATTTTTCGTTTCTTTCCATTTTCTTTGTTTTTGATATGATACCTTGGCACTTCATGCCCTGGTGGATGACACCATAGAGAAGACTACCGCAGTGGTCACAGAAGGTGGGGCTGTTGTAGGTGTGTTGCTTGAATTGGTGCTTCGTCCGCGTGTCCTGCGTTATTACACCATTACACCGTGCACACACACGCAGACTCTCGGGTCATAGGCGTGGGGAAGGAGAATAAATAGAGAAGAAAGGATCGAAGGAAGGAAGGAAGAAGACGATTTCCCCGATAAGCGATCGCGCAATAATAACTTTCGTCTCTTTTCGTGTCTCTCTCTGGTCCAAGTTTGGAAACAGAGAGTTTGGAACAGAGTTGGCAACCGCGAAACCGACATCTTTGGTTCGGCGTGGCTCGATGTCATTCCGTACTACGGCGACCGTTATTGTTCGAATTATTCTCTCGCTTTCTCTTAAAACGCGTTGAATTTGATTATTGCCCTCTACGTTAAATTTGAGCATCGCCGTTCAGGAAAATCAAGGCGCGATTCGAAAAAAGGAAGGACAATGATTCAAGGTTTTTTTTTTTAGGTATCGAGAAGAGTCGTCTTCGAAGCACAGAAGCACAGGAAGGAAATCAGCACCAGGGCCAAGGAGGACGACGCTAGGACATTGATCGTTTTAGTCGAAGTATGAATAAGAAAAAAAAAACCATTTCCTTCCGCAGTGATGAGGAAAAAACGTTCGCGACTCGGAAAGAAGAGGAATTAGCGAACTGATCGCGAACGAGTCGAGAACGTTGTTCCTGAAAATTTTAAAACCGTTTTGGTTTTTCCAACGCGCATAATTTCCCTTATATTACTCGTCCGCATAATTATACTCCGTGTTATAAGCGTGGTTAAAACGAAGCGCAGTAAACGCTTAAGGCCAATCGTGCGCGGTGCGAGAAAACGTGGAAAAATGTATATATATATATATATATATTTATATAGCTCTTAGCCCCGGGTATCCTTTCCCTGTTTGCTCCAGCCGAGGATCATTCTTATCCTTCTCTGATCGTCGCGATATGCCATTTTGGCAACTTTGTTTCAGCTCGTTACCCTTCTTCTTCCTTCTTTATCCTCCCACTTTCTCTTCTCTTTCTCTCACGCGCGCGCGCGCACACACATACACGCACACACGTCACGTGCATACAACGTCTTTTCTTTCTTTTTCTCTCTCATCTACATACACCGTATCGTATGGATTATCGATAGTCAACATTCGTATTCCGAATCGAATGTTTTTAATTAGTAAGAAAATAGCGATATGTACAGTTATTATTGCAAAATAAACGCCCTGTTGCGTTTGGGCGCTCGCGTCATTGATTAATTCGCGTTCACTGGGGGAGAATGAGAGAGAAAGAGATGCAGCAATAATCGCCATTTTCCTCTCCCCTCGAAAGAGATCACTGCGAGGAGTGTCTCCTTTCCGCCTTACGAATTTGTAATGAATAGGTACGCGACAATCGAGGGAAGAAGTCGGGTAGTACACGAGCTACTAATCGAATCGCGATCGCGAGATTTCATTGGTCCTTGGCTTAGGACGAAAGAGAGAAAGGGGCGATAAAACTGCGTCGAGAAAGAAGAATAATAAACGAACAGAAATCGTGTCTAACGAAATATGCGGTTGCTCGATACTCACGTCGGAATCAGCTCCTTTGTCAGCACCAGGGCACGTGAAGGTCACGTACTCGTGACATCGTTTGTGAACGACGAAACTGCAGACTGGAAATATAAACAGGACAAAATGGAGGCGAAGGTGTCACGGAAAGTGTTTCGAATCGCGGGTGTCGAAGCCTCGAACAAGTTTCTTACCTTGACATTGGTATCCTTGCTTCCCGAAGCCCCTGAAACAAAAGTTTACATTCCGTCATTCGTTCGTTCGTTCAGCGAACGTTTCATCGTTCTCTCGTTGTTCTCGTTGGCAAAGAAAGCTGACAGTTATACGTAGCATTATTTATCGCTGTTTGATTCATTTGTCGAAAATGGAGATGAAAATATTTTTCCGAAATGAATACCGATAATTTCGAGGAAATAAAAATTTTTTATTCCGTCAAATTACATGTATTGTCAATTTTCATAGCCAATCAATTCGAATTTTAAATCTCGACTCGAACGAGATAAAATTCGGCTTCTCTATACGAAAATATGATCTCAATGTTAGAATGATCATTATCATTATCAAAAGTGAATTTTCAATATGATATCCGTTTATCGATAATCTGACGCGTAACGTCTCTGTAACGGTTGACTGTTAACGATTACATCAGCTTCAACGAACAGATCGATATTTCAAGGTTTGAACAATGTATCAATAATAGGTTTCGATTCGAAACGATAAAGCATATCGAATTGGCCGTAATTCTCTTAAAAACGATGAGTTACAATGATGAGTTAAGAAACAAGAGAAGATGCGAAACATTGATGGATCGAGCGTAACGATTTCGTTCGATCACGGAATGTACCGAACAGAATTCTCGCTTCTCATCGAGACGATGACGATTTTCGAAAAAAAATTGTGGAAATAAAGTAGAGAGTGAAACGAAAAGAAGGAAAAATTGAAAGAAGACACGTGTAATTCGAGGAGGAAAGAATAAGAAGAAGAGGAGAAAAATCGATGCGAATCCCCGATTAGCCTACATTTCTTTGAAGCTTAAATCGAAACACGCGCGCTTGTTGCGTCGAAAGATAGTTGACGAGTATGGCGAGGAAACAACTGTTCCATCCTCAAACGATCATTGTTTAATATTATACTATTCTTTTTTCTTTTTAGAAATTGAATTCTAGTCCCATCTATGTGGAAAACTTGAAGACGCGAAAATTTAAAATTGTAGGCTCGCTGGAAAAACGAGAATTAACGCTCGAGGTGTGAACGTTTCTACACCTCGTTGCTACGTGTACACGTATATGTATGCCATAGATGTTGTGCAGCGGAGGTTACTATAACTGGAATGAGACGAGTAGACCGGTTCTATTTTCGATCCGAGATGCGCCACGTATCGTGAACAGCCGCCCTTTGGAAAATTAAGGTCGATTTAGTCGACCGGTTCGGCTATCGGAGCCGAAAGGGAGCATGTGTGCCGCTCGCCCGATATCCTGGTATCCGACACACGATCGCCCAATAATACGAATTGTTGTGAGAGTTCAAACAAAAATTTTCGTTTTGTCTCTCGTGTAGAACGAGCCGAATATCGAAAGCGAAATCTGATACCGAGAGCGAGGTTGAAAAAGTTCGCATTTCACTCACTATCGATATGGTCTTTGAGTGAAATTTCCGATCGATCGAATCGTAAGCAATTCGAGAAGAAGTTATCGAAATTGATAATAAGAGAAAATGGTTGAAAAATATAGCGAATCCGATTTGCGTTTGTCAAGAAATTAGAAAATCTAGTTATACTCGAAAAGACAGCTAGAGAAACGAAGATTTTTCAATTTTTGTTCACGAAGAAAAGTAATCGATCGTAAAATTATACGTATGCGCATAGATAGATATAGATTCGAAGAAGGTGCTTCTTGAACCGTGACGGGTTTCCCGGGCTAATCGACGACGACCTTACCGATCCGCGCAAGAATCCATCGAAAGCCTTTTGTTCCAAGCTAATTGGGTTCGCTCGGTTTCCATCGATTTTCTACCATCCTGCCCTCTCCTGTCCCCCTTCTCCTCTCACGGACCGCAATGAACCGCAACGGACCGCTAAAAATTCCCAAACGAAGCGTACTCGCGCGCGCACCATCACGTAACTCTCTCTCTCTTTCTCTTTCTCTCTCTCTTACCTCTCGTCATCCGAAATTATCGAACGCCGCATTTCTATTTCTTCCAAAAAAAAAAAAGCATTTTATCGATTTAAAAAGAAGAAAAATTCGATTTTAAAAGAGAAATCCTTCGAGTAAGATGGAAAAATTCAACAGGCAGTTGGGAACCGCTGGCCAAAGGCCAGACCACGATCGCTTTTCTAGATTTCGCGTGGAACGGAATTTCTTCGTGCGCGATGAAATGATATATATGGGTTGGAAAAATATCGTAAATAAATCGTCGCAGCGATGTCTTTTTTAATTTCGAACGGACAAAATTTCCAAGGTTATTCCGCGAACGACCGTTGGTGAATCGAAATTCAAAGTTATTCAGTGTTAAGTAACCAGCCGCGGCAATACGATCAACGCGATAGGATTCTCGTGAATTCTCAAGGAATGACCGGGATTATCGGAATCCGTGTCCTGAAATTCAGTCGAATTTCAAGTATACAGGCAAACACACGCACAAATAAAATGGAATAGGTTTGTTTATTCGGTAATCGCAACGTTTATTTTTCAACACGTCCTATTCGAATTCTCTTTTTCCCAGATTGCGATCATTCGTAGAGACTATATTTTATTATCGTTCGTCACATTTGATAATGTAATTCTGTCGTCTTATCGTTGTTAAATGAAAAACCGAGAAAAAAGTTACAAGATACAACAACGAGACATTTATTTAAACAATTTTGATATTTTCTGTTATAATTAATTTATAACACTGACACCAAACTTATCTCTAAAAATCGAGATACGTAAATTCAACTTTATATTATTGTTCGAATCAAAGAGCAAAGATATTCGATCGATCGAAAATATGCGCTATCGAATTGAGCGTGATATAAATTACGTCAGAAACGAACGTAGTTCCGTTTAATCGAAGCAAATCGATAGATCGATGTTTATTCAACAATAACGAGTGAAATTTTCTTGTGTGACGACGTTTCGCGTTGAAATTCCATTAAAATTAACGCGGATAAAAGTTCCGTCGATTTACGAAACTCGAGCTCGTATCGTTTCATTTCGTTTGATCGCTACTAGCGTTGCTTCGCCATTAATTCAAACCACGTATCGTTATCCACGCATCGGTGCTTCGTAACGAGCATTCAATTTTTTTTTCGCTATCTTTATTCGCAGTATAATCAGATCAATCGACGAAGAAATATATTTTTTTTTTCCATCTTATTTTATCCGAGAAAGAAGAGAAGGATAAAATTGATCGAATGTTTTCGAATGTTTGACATTATCAAACGATCGAATACATGTTATAATAGAAAAAAAAAATGTAAGCATGTAATTAAAAACGAAAGACGTGCGCGTATTCGTATTCGTTGTCCTGACACGGACAAAACAAGTTTCGTCACGCGAAACCGCACAACTCGATAACGACTTATGGTTTTAAATACGTTACGCCTCACGATCGGTACACGTGATTTACGAATAGACAGAAGCCAGTGAAATAATAAATCTTGCGGTCATCCATGTCGATCCTTTTGTCGATCCTTAGAAAGATGTTCGCATTGGATAACGAAATCGAACAAGTAATTCTCTATTTTCTTTGGAAAAAAAAATTAAACAGAAAATACGTGACGTCATTGTCTTTTGTGATTTCATATTTCATAACGCGATCATATTGTCCTTCAAACTGATGATAACTCGAATGGTAAAGTGAAATTTTACTCGCGAAGAAAAAAAATAGAACGAGCAGATTTAATTTTCGCTTTGATTATACGTAAGTCTGATTCGATCTGATAGATCGGATTCTCTCGGTTGATCGAAAAGAGTCATAGATATAGAGATGGATCAGTTAACCGTGTTTGAAACAATTTAACCCAATTATCGCCGATCTCTTTAACCGAATCAAATTGGAACGAAGGAAAATCGAACGAGAGGAAAAAAACGACAATCGTTAAGAGGATCGAAACGATTTCTTCGTCGTCGTTTCACGTTTCACGTTCCTTTGCATTTTGCGGTAAAGAAGGCAAACGAAACAAAAGATAGGAAAGAATTGGATCGGAAATGTCTGTTGCGTCCGTTCTGAACGGCAAAATCGATGTCGGCGAAACAAGTTAGTTTGGTTACTGGGTCGCTCGCTATTGTGCGTCAATGCCTGTAACCGTTTCAACTACGAGTAAATGTTACTCGTTAGACACCGTCCGGGTTATGATATACTGTAACCTTTTTTTTTTCGATCGATTAACGTTTCAATCAATCGTTTACGTATCATTACTGGTTATACCGGTAATAAAATAAAATCGTATTAAAAATAAGATAGACTAAACAACTTTAATTGAAAAAAAAATTTCTTACACAATTGCGATATATCATATTGTCGCTTTATATATTGCTATTACGATTACGACCGTTTTTTTTACCGTAGTTATAATCGATATTCAATGTCATTCTGCTTTCTCCGATTCTATCTATGAAAAACACGATTGATCGTCGCACGAATGTCATAGAACCGGTTTTTGGAAGACAAAAAATCGAACTCGTTTCATGCATGATTGATTCGTTTAAAATCGTTCGAAAATCCCGCGCTCGAATTGATCTCTCATCCGGTCGTTGTTTCTAATTTAGACGAAGCGCGAGTATTCTCAAGGACGGACCGTTTAACCGTTGCTCGAGTTACTCTACCGGCAACTATCGGCCACTGGATTTATGTATTATCAAAGAACAGAAAGAGAAAAAAATATACGTGTCAAATAGAAAAAGGAGAAAAAGAGAAGTGAAAGAAATAAGGACAATTAGAAATTTTGAACGGAATTGGGCAAAAAAAACGAGATATTTGATCGGGAATGGAATAAATAATCGATAGAGAAGAAGGGGAGAAGGAAGAAAAAAAATAGAGCGATGATGCGAAGAAACAAAATGTCACAAAAGTGCGATGGAACGCGCATACGTATACGATGACGACGAGAAAACGAAAATTTGAAAGACTTACCATATAAAGTCCTTGCAATGACTGCAAAAGGTTGGTTGCTTAAAGAAACGAGGCATGAAACTGTGATTCTTGACCACGTAGACATTCTTTTTCTTCAGGGCCCCTTTTCGTCCTCGAATTTTCTTAGCGAATGCGGTGTTTGCATCGCCGGGCCCGAGGGAATCCTCGCACGTGTTGTTTGCTTCTTGATCGTCCGCCATCGCGCGCTCCACTTGTCGATCTTCTTACAGACCGATCAGGGTGAAATTTCGTGCGATACTTTGCTTCTATCCTTCTGTTGATTCTTCTCCAGTCAGTCGAAAAATGCACGCGCGTACACGAATCCGACCCTTGATAAAGGGAAAAAGCGAGCGATATCCGAGCGAGCCAATCGCGATGCGCTCGGAAACGCTCGGAAACGAAAAAGGAAACGTGAGGAAAAGGTGACGGAAAAGAAAGAAAAGAAATAGAGATGAGGAAAGAGAAAAATCCGTTTGTCACGCGTCTGTCGAAACACTCTCAACGACGACGTGTCGTTTTTAGTATGTGTACGTGTGTGATGTGTGTATATGTATGGACGTATGTGTGAATATGGTGTGTGTGTACTCGGTCGACGTGCAATAGGTAATGCACTTGTCACGGTAACTCGTGTCGAGACCGACGGCCACCGACTCTGCTGCCCTCGCCGCTCGCTGCCAACGCCACCGCCGCCACCACCTCTACCATCACCACCACCACCTTCGCCTCCTCCCACCATCGCCACCACCCCGTTTTCCATGCCTGCATCTCACATTCCCGCTTCACCCTTCCCTTTCGTTCTTCCACTCTTCTTACCTATGCCGATACGCGCGCGCGCGCTCACCTATGCTCCACGTCCTTAACCCCTTAACCCCTCCATCCTATCTTGCTCAATCATTGCCCACCCGCACTTCTATCTCTACCATTTTCCTTTTATTCAACTTCTCATCCCTTTTCTCTTCTTTTTCTTCTCTCTTTTTTCGAATACCAATTTTTCCCTTTTAATCTATTCCATTCTCCATTCTCTTTGCATTTTCCTCTTTGCATTTAGTTTCGAATATAATAAAAATGAATTAGAAAATGATTATTCTTTCTTTCTCCTTCCGTGATATTTTTACCATTTTTTCTTTTAGTTACATATGTTTACGTCCATTCTTATGCTTTGTTCTTCTTCTTCCGTGCTCTTCTCTCCTCTTTTTTCCTACATCGTTCGTAAATTTCCCCTCTTTTACTCCCTCTCATTCTCTTGTGTTTTCTCTCGGCCCCTCTGCCGATGCACATACCTTCCCCTCTCTCGAACAGACCGATAATTTTAGATTCTCGGCGCAGTGGCTCGACATTGCTACTGCTCAGCCTGCGCCGCGCACTCGAATATCGACATTCGACATCCGCGAGAACCGCGAGCATATACGACCTCACCGAAACCCCGAGGGAGAGTTGCTACCTACGGTAGAGAGGGGATATCGAATGCACTAGATAACCTTCTCCTTGTATTCCTGCTGTCTTGTCTCTTTTCTCCCTTGCTTCCCTATTGTTCATTATTTTTTTAGTGCTTCTTTCTTACATTCCAATCTTGATTTCTTACTACATGTCGCTTCTAGCGTGCCAGAATGTTGCAATCCTATTTCTATCTTTCAACTTTTATCTTTATATATTTATTCATTTTATGTGCATACATATATACTTACATACATATCAACATATAATATTATAACAGTCAATATATTTCAAATATAACAATTTAACGTGTTTCCAATCTTTTCATAATTAAAACTCGTCACTGTATTGATCGTTTTGTATTATAAAAAAAAGATAATTTTCATTTCGAGGATTCATATTTTAATCTTTAATCTTAAATCGTGTCGTAAATTGAAATCAAATTAAATTATATAAAATTCAAAATAGGTAATTTAAAGCCAAATATTTCAGTGCTCGAATAATTATAGATTCCTATAGCAATAATTTGATCCTAAACTGATCAATCCGGAAAAATTTTAATTCGAGTTTTAATGCGTGAGTCAATAATATCTCCATTAGCTATTTTTAATAACTAGATCATGCATAAACTTCTCACGTATGGATAAAACGTTTCTTATAAATTTGATAACTTTTCATAACATATTACTTTTTCATAACGTGCTACTATAAACTTGATATATTAAATAGACGTTTTCCTTCTTTTCCTTGATTTAATTTTAACTTTAACGATTGACAAAAAAGATTGAAAAAAAAAAACTTTTAATTTTAATTTAAATAATATTCAAATGATATAAAAGAACTTTTAATCATTTGATTAATAATATTTTATTCTTATTTTAATACATAAATACATATTTTCTTTTAATTTATACCTTTTATAGGATCTTTTGAATTTCGTAGAGGGCGTTAATGTTGTCAGTCATACCAACCTTAACAATTTGATCTTTTCCTATGATCGATTTAATTAAACGTTCCAACGTTCCATTATTTAAAAGATTTTAAAGTGGTTTTTTTTCTTGTTTTTTTTTTTGTAATAAAATTTTGATTTGTGAATTATAATGAAATTATCAAAATTCTATTGGATGATGTTCATCACATGTTACTTGTCATTTAGTATGTTATATGAATAATGGTTTATCGAATGTTTGTTTATTTATAAATATTTTTAGGCCACGCCCTCGAATGCTATGTATGTACCGATCAAGAAGGTAATAGAGAAAAATGTTTAAAAAGTACAAAAACTTGCGAACAACATCAAGATACTTGTTTGACGGAAATTAAATGGGGAAGTAAGTAAAGGAACTAGTATAAAATTTTCATATGCCTTAATGATAGATTTTTGAGGTTATGTTTATAGTACGTAATGAACAATGATTTGTTAAAATAAATTATTCATATAAAAACGAAAAATCTGCATTCTTAGCATGATATTATTATTATAAATAAATAAATTTTATAGGTACACCATACTGGTCGCAAGGAGCAAAAAAACAATATTACGTTTCAAAAAGATGTGCCACAAAAAAAGAATGTGAACGAATAAAACGTGCTAATATGGATGATTGCACATATATTTGGTATCAAGATTGGAAATGTTCTGACTGCTGTCAAGGAGATAAGTGCAATTATTATGTGATTTCCATGGCGGAGAAATTACATGCTTATGGGTTGACCGTTATCGTTGCATTGATATTTTTGCATTTATGGCAAAGGTAATCGATCTATTTGCGATTCATTAGCCATTATTGGCTATTTCTACTCGCCTGTATTTTTCTCCATAATTATTTGATTCAATCATTTTATCATTATGAAGGCTTGAATTCATGAGTTACAGTCTGATTTTGGAAAATTATATTTAATCGAAAATGATAAATTGTAACTTGAAATGTAATAATTATTTCAAGTAATTTATATTTAAAAATAATTTACAATTTAGAAATAATTTACAATAATTTACACAAATTTTATTCAATTTTATTTTATAATATTATATATTTTATATATAATTATATATTTTAGTAATATTATTTTATATTATTCGAATAACAAATTTTAATTTAAAATATTCAATTTAAATATTTATAAATTAATTTAAAAGTATTTTCAAATAGGTATAAAAGATTAGTTTAATTATGCCTATTACATATATCCGTCCAATAAAATATCGTTTGAGCGTATTTTAGCGAAAAAAAAATATATTATTTGATATTTTATATTTGTGAATAAAATTGTTTGAAATATATGCAATACATTTTTTGTTAACATTTTTACTTCTTTATTATCCTTTTATTACTCTTTCTAATCCAGTGAATCGTCGCTTTGATAAACGTAACGTGAGAAATTAAATAATCATATCTTTTTGTAACGTATTATATATCACATTGTGTAGAGGATATCCGATACTTAGTATAGATAAGCAGACTGGAGAATAATTATTTACAATGAATCCATACTAATCAACACAGAATAAGTTTAAAGTGTTAAAACCAGTTATCATTTTCTGAACGATATCTTTGATAATTATTTTTTGACGTACGATATTTATGTAAGTACAATATATTTATTTTTTTTTAAAAATATGATAGACTCGAAATTATCAAAATATGTTAATTTCTAATAAAAATATATTCTTAAATTAGTATTCAGTATTGTTCATTGTTCATTTCATAGTATCGATTATAGTATCGATGTGGGATGTTAAAACTTTGCGGATAATTTTACTATTTATTTGTGTTACATGAATGTGAATAATTTTCATAAATGAGTATATAAAATGATATAATTAAAAATAACGATGAAATATGAAAAAAATAAAATCAAGACGGAAAAATATTTGATATATGAAACCAAAAAAAACACTTCTTTTTACACTATCTAAACTTATCAGTAAAATCAACAAAATAATAATAGAATGATCAGATTGTATCAGTTATAATGTTAAGATCAATATTATGAGCAGATGGCTGATATTGATGAGATTGAACAATTTTAATCTATTCAATTGCGGTGAAGCAATTCCGACCAATTGAATGATTCTGTTTTGCTCGCACCACGACCGATCTTTAAGCTCGATTTAAAAATATTTTAATTAACGCTTCTTTAGTCACAAATCGAATGTTCTCTATCGAGCCGGTAGTCCATCATTCATTGCAGTATAGTCTTTTATGATCTATAGACAAAAATTGATTTGATTGTATTTTAAATGATAAGAAAATTAAAAAGGTATAGAAACGATATCTTCGATTAAATAGTCCGTTCATATCATCGATTGGCAAAGTCTTTGAACAGTTTTCATTCTTCTCCTTCTTATACAAACTTACGTAAAAATTCTGACGTCTATCACTTGGATATTAACACTTGTTACTTTCAGTTGTATAAAATGAAGATCTGGAAATTAAAAACTTTGTACAAGATGTTTAGTCGGAAGAAAGAGGTGGATTATTCTCAGGATACAAGATTGGCAAGATGTCTGTCGACATTGGATCTCACGGCTCTCGGAATAGGTTCGACTCTTGGCGTGGGTGTGTACGTTCTCGCAGGCTCTGTTTCAAAAACAATCGCAGGCCCTGCCGTAATAGTTTCGTTTGCCATTGCCGCGATCGCATCCATGTTTGCAGGTATATAATTCAAATTTGACTCGTCGTTATTTCATCGATTTTATCTTTTTTGCTAGATCGATAAAGAAGAAAAATTAATTCGAATTTTTTTCCAACTTAGGTCTGTGTTATGCGGAATTCGGTGCAAGAGTACCACGTGCGGGATCAGCGTATATATACAGTTATGTAACAATGGGAGAATTTACAGCTTTTCTGATCGGTTGGACGTTAATTCTCGAATACGTAATTGGCTCGGCTAGCGTAGTGCGAGGACTGAGCACTTACGTAGACGCTTTGTTTAATAATACTATGAGAAACGCGTTCGAAACAGCGGCACATATCGACATCGATCACCTTTCTTCTTATCCGGATTTCTTTGCCTTTGGAGTAACCCTAATCTTTTCCGGTATGAAATTATCGAGCAAATTAATTATCGTACGTTAAAAACAGAGAGAAACTTTTAATACTATACACTTCGCTTTTAATTTTATTCAATTGTTAATTTTATTCACTAATTAAAATATCTATTGTCCCGGATAGCTGCGTTGGCGTTCGGTGCAAAGGAATCTTCGGTAGCGAATAATTTCTTTACGCTTACAAATCTTTCCGTAGTTCTATTCGTCATAATCGCTGGATCTCTTAAAGGTAATATTTCGCTTATAATTCATACCTGAAATAAAAAATATTTTTATATATATATATACATATATTTGGGATATGAAGCCAACATAAATAATTGGAAAACGAAGCCAACATGTACGGCAGAAAATTGCAAATATGGAAGTGGAGGATTCATGCCTTACGGTATAGCGGGTGTTATAAGCGGAGCGGCAACCTGCTTTTACGGATTCATCGGTTTTGATTGTGTCGCGACTACAGGGGAGGAGGCGAAAGATCCACAAAAATCGATTCCAATAGCAATCGTTGCATCATTGACTGTCGTCTTTCTTGCGTACTTCGGTGTATCCACAATATTGACTACTGTCCTTCCTTATTACGAGCAGAATGAGGATGCCCCGTTTCCGGAATTATTCGATCACATCGGTTGGAATTGGGCGAAATGGCTGGTAACGATAGGTGCCATTTGCGGTCTATGTTCAAGGTAAAATTCGATTATGCGTTTCTATATGTGCACACGTATATATATATGTGTGTGTAAGTATAGAAATATTCTCGATTAATTTTTTTTTTAATCTATGGAAATCGTTCGTACAGTTTATTAGGAGCGATGTTCCCATTACCACGAATTATTTATGCGATGGCATCCGACGGATTGATATTCGAATGGATGGGAAAGGTCAGTTCACGATTCCATACACCTTTGATGGGTACATTCTCGGCAGGAATTCTTACAGGTTCGTATTTTTTTTTTTTTTTTTTTTACTCGGATAATATTCACTGCTGTTTATTAAAATTTTAGGTTTATTGGCTGCCATTTTTGAATTGACTCAACTCGTAAATATGATGAGTATTGGAACACTACTCGCTTATTCGATCGTCGCAACGTGTGTACTGATACTTCGGTAAAAAAAAAAAAAAAAAAAAAGTATTCAATTCCTATAAAGTATGAAGATTTATTATTGATGACAGTTTAATTTAGTTTTGGATTGTTTCAGATACGAGGAAAGCGAAGCCTATCAAAAAAAGGAGGACCGTGATCCAAGAACCTTGAAATTCATTGCGAGACAGTTAATTAACGCTAATGGATTAAATCATTCTACGAAATTAACATCCCAAATCGTTACTTACCTTGTTGTGTGTTATGGTATATTTATCACTTTGATCGATTAATATAACTTTTTTAATGTTATATTTGCTATTAATTTGTATTCTTTATAGTTATCCTATGTATTTGCATCGGTATTATAATTTCAATTTTTACTGATGAAATAATGAATGGTAAAATTACACTTATCGTTCCATTAGCAATTCTGCTATTAGTTCTTATCGTTATTCTTATTTTTATTTATCTTCAACCGACTTCTGGAAAGAATCTTGCATTTTCGGTGTGTATTATTTTTTCATTATCGTTTACTTAATAAATAAGTAATATTAAATAAGTTAATATATAATAATAATTTTTGACATGTATTTTTAGGTTCCTTTGGTGCCATTTTTGCCTGCTTTCAGTATTATTATTAATATTTATCTTATGATGATGTTAGATAAAATGACATGGATGAGATTTTTAATATGGATGATAGTTGGTAAGTAAAGAATATCAATAAAAATAACGATTTTGAATTAATATAATTAAACAAAACGATTTTATTATTTCTTGTAGGTCTTGGAATATACTTTTTCTATGGTGTTTGGCATAGTAAAATGAGAAAAGATAAACATACAAAATTACCCGAAAATGGTTATACTAATGAAGACACATGGAAAACAAATGATTTCTCTACACATAAATGACACGATGTATTTCACTTTCATAATAAAAATTTTTGAATAAATCAGAGATACTTACCTTGTTAATTGAATTAACAAATGATTTAATATTATGATAATTTGAAGAATCTTTATCTTAAAGATAAAGAGATGATCGATCTGCATATTTAAAAGTAAATTTTCTATTTATATTTCAAAATTATTATAAAAATAAAAAATTTCTTTAAAAATTTAAACTTTAAAGAGCAAATAGTGATTTAAGATCATCAAGCGTGAGTTTCGAAACAGTGGAATTTTTATCGCCACTGAGAACATTTTGCGCTATTTCCATTTTCTTTTCTTGCAAATGTTTTATACGTTCTTCTATTGTGTCTTTGCAAATAAATCTAGAAAATAATAAATTAAATTAAATAAAATGATATGTTTTGCTGCGAATTTTAAAAAATTTTTTAATAATATTTTCTAACTTGTATATGAACACATTTTTTTTTTGTCCAAAACGATATATTCTATCTTGAGCTTGTACTTCTAATTGTGGATTCCAATGAATATCTATTAGCAATAAGTGATTTCCACCTACTAAATTTAATCCAACACCTCCTGCAGTAAGTGAGAGCAATAATATTTTTGGCTTATTGTTTGGAGTGTTGAACGAATCCATTATACCCTGTAAAAATATTTCATATATTTGAAATAATATCGCTCGATATGACTGAAAAATATTATTCATTTTAAAATTACCTGTCTTTCCTTAATAGGTACATTTCCCGTGAACATATCAAAACTGGCATCTTTTATCGAAGATAAACAAGATGCGATAATATTTAACGTACTTGTCCATTGAGAAACAATGATTAATTTATCATTTTTTTCTAAAATTTCCTTCACCGTTTCAAGGACCATCTTTATCTATATTCAAGATGTAAATACAAATAAATTAAATATGTTAACCAATATCGAATAATATCTTGTAAATGAAATCATATAAAAAAAAAATTCACCTTGGAACTTATACGGTCAGATTTAAATACAGGATTTTTAGATGTAAGTAAATTGGTAGCTACTCTGCGATCAACACCTATGTCTATTTTATTGTCCTCTTCTTCATTATTTTCCGAATCTTTTAATGTCATATTATTGATCTGTGATAATAAATTTGGATCTAAATTTTCTGTTTCTATCATTCCACTCTCTTTCATATCTTCTTGATCTAACATGGAATAAATAAGTGATGGATGAACACAAATTTGACGTAATCTTAGTAAAAGAACTAAAATTTCATGCGTTTTCACGTCCGCATGTAACGATAATAATTTATTCTGTGCCATCGTAAATTGAGTATTTTTGTCTGAAAAAAAAAACATAGTATGTTATTTTGATGTGTTATTAGCATATAATTTTAATATATATACTTACTTGGATTCGAAAGAAACGTTGGTTTATCATATTTTCCGACAGCTAAATCAACCATGTGATCTTTTTCAGCTCTTTGAGCCAAAAATTGAGCAAATAATGTACGAGAATAAATCAATACTTTTTCGTATACTAATTGTTCCTGCTGATCGAGTTTTATAAATACTTCTTCTACAAATTTTTCCGGGAGACTTTCTAACATGCCATTAACTTGAAGTTCTTGTTTTGTTCTACGTAACATTAATGTTTTCATTACAGTTATTAAACGTTGACGACCAGCAGCATTTTTATTATCTACCCAACGTTTCCATACTCGTAAATCATCAAAAGGAGAACATTTTAAAAATTTTAAAATAGAATATAAATCCATTTCCTTATTTTGAATAGGTGTTCCAGTAAGAGCCCATCGTTTACTTGCTAATAAACCACATACCGATTGAGAAGCTTGACTTTTATGATTTCGAATTATATGCGCTTCGTCAAGAATAATGCGATTCCAATGAATTTTATATACCGTGGAATTGGTCTTAAATTCACGGGTTAAAATGTTATACGTTGTAATAACTACATCGTTTTTTGCTAATCTTTTTGGTACATTTTCCCGATTTGTACCATGATAAACTTCAACAGAAAGCATACCACGTTTACATCTGTGGTTTATTTCATTTTCCCATTGTGATAATAAAGATGCTGGACAAACTACGAGTGTACCACCTTTATATTGCAATGGTGTGTTATTATCTATCCATTCCTCATTATTATATACTTCATCTTCTTTTGATTTTTCTTTTGCAATACTGGCTATAATTAAAGATATCATTGTTAAAGTTTTACCTAAACCCATATCATCAGCAAGAACTCCACCAGGAGGTCTTTGTTGTTCTCTCCACATTAACCATGCTAATGCGTGTTGTTGATGCGGCATTAATTTTACTTTTAAACCTTGAGGATCATTCGCTCTTTCTTCTTCCGTCGGTCTAGCTACAAGAGATCCATGCAAATCTTGCAATCTATCGACTGTTAAAGTTAATTCTCTGTCCAATGTTGCTTGAGCTTTTTTCCCAAGTTCTTTAACTTTTGGAGATGATTTCAATTTCATTGATATATAATCGGAATTATAAGAAGAATCGAATTTGTCAGGATATTCTTGTGTAATAAATTCTTCTTCAATAGATTTAGTAGTTTGTGTTAAAGGTGTATTTTCTAATTCAATTGCAATTTCTTCTATTTGTTTTTCTTGCATTGCAATACTTTCACGTAACTTTTCTCCATTATCTGGTAATAAACTAATATTACCAGTAGTAAGCAATAGCTAGAAATAACATATATATATATATATATATATATATATGTATATATATATGTATATATATATCATCTAAAATATACATATATTTCACTTTTTTACTTTATTGAAATGAAGAATTGGATTTACCTTTGTTTTGTTTAACTCTTTTTGTAATTGTTCCATTTTACAAACAAGAAGAGCTCTTTTTTGAGCAATTAATGGATCTATATTACCGACACCTATTTCTTGTTTTGCTAAAGAAATTGCAATATCAGATTGTGGAATATTTTCTTCATCTATATGAAAAAATTTAGAAATCAATTCAATAAATATATAATAAATTTATAATAATATAATAGTTTTAAAATAAGAGAAAAACTACTACAAAAATATTTATACCTGAATCAGTTAAAGAATATGATTTTTTATATTTTATTTTTTCTTTAGAAACATGTTTCATAGTCAAACTGTTATTGTTTGATATGTTTTTAGATATATTAAAAACATCTATATTCTCCTTATTCTCTAAAGCATCTTGTGATTTTTTATCATCCTTTATTTCAGCACTGATGTTTATCATTTGTTCATCTAATAAATAAATCAAATTAATAACATTAAACTCAAAATTATTCTGCTCTTAATAAAATTTGATACCATTTGACACATTATCATCAGTATTATCCTCTTCGGTATCACTGGTTGATAAAGAATCATTTTCATCATTATCATCTTTAGCATCTTCATTATCAGAGTAAAAAATATGCTTCCTAATTCTTTTCTTTATTGTTTTCTCTGTTAATGATAATTTTTCAGACGAAGATCTAAATTATAAAGAAAATCATAGTACAATAGAATATTATTAGTTCATTGAAACATTAAGTTAAATGACAATTAAAGTCTGTAAAAGATACTGCTTACTTTCTCGGCGTTAAATTTGAAGAAACATTTATGCTACTATCACTACTTTCAATCACAAAAATTTGTTCTTTTTCAATATTTTTATTTTCGTCTTCGTCACTGTCCGAAATAACAAAAGACTTTTCTTTCTCTTTAATAACACAAGGCGAATCGCGCCACTGACTGAAACTTTCCTCCATCCGAACTTCTGTGAATATTATTAATTCTCTTTAATTGTACAAATTTAAAAAATTTATATTAAATTATACATGTAAAAAGTTATATTAATTTAAAATGTAAATAAATATTTAACTCTTACCAAAATGAATCACTTGTTAAAAAAAATTTAACTGATACTTTTTTAAATTGACAAGTATGATGAGAACATGAACTATGCAATAATATAGTATGACATATTATACTGTTTTTTTAATAATATTAAATTAAAATTTCAAAATCTGATTAATATCAATTAAATAAACAAGAATAAATAGAAATATATTAAATAATTTATAAAACAAAAATCAACAAAAAAATGAAAATATTAATTAATTTATATAGATAACTCTGTTGTCTTTTACTAGGGTAACATATAGAGATATGAAGACTGATAATTTCCCTATTAACGACAGATTCCTAAACTAGTTGGATCCAAGTTAAGTTCTTACTCTCGTCTCATCTACAATCGTTTAAGTTGTTGCGAATTAGAGTGAATTCTGTCAATTCGAATCTAAACTTATTGTCAAAAAAATGGCTGATTTTTTAGATTCAGAAGCAGAAGAAAGCGAGGTATATGTAACATTAAATTTTAATATCATGATATATATATATATATATACAAATTTTTTAATCATATAAAAGTTATATCTCTGATCAATGCTTTACTATATTATTTTAGGAGGAAGAGGAATTAGACGATAATGAAAAGAAAAAATTGAAGAAAATAAAAGCTGTGGCAGAAAGTGATGAAGAAGAGGAGGAAGGTGAGGATAGAGTAATACATTCCAAGGTTGTATCATGATATTTCATAAACTTTATTTTATATTTAAATTTACAAATATATTATACATTTTATTTTATAATTAATAAATGTCAATGATATATCTATCAATTGCTTACAGATGATGAAGATCGATTACGTGAAGAACTTAAAGATCTCATTGATGATAATCCCATAGAAGAAAGTGAAGGAGAAGATAGTGATGCTTCTGGAGCATCCAAAAAACGTAAAAAGAGTGACGATGAAGATTTCGATGATCGTTTAGAAGATGAAGATTATGATTTGATAGAAGAAAATTTGGGAGTTAAAGTTGAAAGAGTATGTATAAATTAATTAAAAGTTATTTAATAAAATATTTAATAAAATTAAACAAATAAAGTGATATAATTTTTTACTTTAGAAACGTTTCAAACGCCTTCGTAGGATTCAAGATGAAGAATCAGAGGAAGAACAAGAAAAGGAAGTGGATGATGATAGAGATGCTATTGCAAATGAACTTTTTGAAGGCTCTGGTGATGTAAGTTACATTTATAATACAAATATTTTAAGCCAAAATTTAAGTTAAAAGTTTAAGTTTAAGTTTAAGTTTCTTTATTGTATTGTTTAATTTTTTAATTTATTTCTATACTTACATCAGGAAAGGGAGATTACTATGGTACGTGGAAATAAATATAACAATATCTTTAAAAAAATTATTTTTTTTTTATTTTTTATTACCTCTTTTTTCATTCTAGTTTTATATTTTCATTATGAATTAGGAAGATGAGAGGAGAAGTGAACGCAGTCACAGACCTGAAGTGGATACATTTGATGAAGAAGGAAGCGAAGGAGAATATACTGATGCGGATGATTTTATTGTTGACGACGACGGTAGGCCAATTGCAGAAAAACGAAAGAAGAAAAAACCAATATTTTCTGATGCAGCCTTGCAAGAAGCACAAGATATTTTTGGTGTTGATTTTGATTATGATGAATTTGGTAAATATGGTGAAGAAGACTATGAGGAAGATGAAGAAGAAGAAGAAGAAGAGGAAGATGAATATATGGATGATGAAGATACCGAAAGACCACGAAGACCGAAAAAACAACTGAAAAAGAAAACAACGAGAAAAAGTATATTTGAGATTTACGAACCAAGCGAACTTAAACGTGGTCATTTTACCGATATGGATAATGAAATACGAAATACAGATATACCGGAAAGAATGCAACTTCGTACTATTCCTGTTACTCCAGTTGCAGAAGGTTCTGATGAGTTAGATCTAGAGGCAGAATGGATTTATAAACAAGCTTTTTGTCGACCAACTATTTCAATTCAAGATGCACATTTAAATGCTGAAGCTAAAGAAAGAGCTCGAAAGGGGCCTCAAACGATCGGTAAAATTAAAAAAGCTTTGGATTTTATGCGAAATCAACAATTTGAGGTGCCTTTTATATCATTTTATAGAAAGGAATATGTTTTACCGGAATTAAACATTAACGATCTTTGGAAAGTATATAAGTTTGATGCGAAATGGTGTCAACTTCGTCAAAGAAAAGAAAACTTATTAAAATTATTCGATAAAATGAGAAATTATCAATTAGACGAAATTATGAAAAATCCTGATGCTCCTTTATCAGATAACATACGATTGATTAAAGATGATGATATAGAACGATTAAAAAACGTACAAACTAGCGAAGAATTAAACGATGTTTATTATCACTTCATGTTATATTATAGTCACGAAATTCCAACGATGCAAGAAACTGCCCGTCAGAAAGAAAAAAAAGCACGCAAGGAAGCTAAAATTCAAAAACGAAAACAGCAAATTGCTGGTGCCGAAGAAAATGGAGAAGATCCTCCAGAAGAAGAAGTAGATGTAGAAGAAGAAGAGGAAGCGGATGAAACATTGAAACAAGCTGTTCGAACAGGTCCGTATTCTATTTGTAGGCGAGCTGGCCTTGATAGTCTTGCAAAAAAATTTGGTCTTACTCCCGAACATTTTGCTGAAAATTTGCGAGATAATTATCAACGACATGAAGTGGATCAAGAACCAACTGAACCATTAATCATTGCTAATGAATACTGTAGTCAAATACTTAACAATCCAGAAGAAGTATTAAAAGCCGTACAATTAATGGTAGCTATTCAATTAGCGCGCGAACCTTTGGTAAAAAGATGCGTCCGAGAAATGTATATGGAAAGAGCAAAAATATCAGTAAAACCTACGAAAAAAGGAATTAAAGAGATAGATGAAAACCATCCAATTTACGGTATGAAATATTTGAAGAATAAACCGGTGCGAGATTTAATCGGAGATCAGTTTTTAAATTTAATCATAGCTGAAGAAGATAAATTAATCACGATAACTTTAAGCGATAGCATCGAAGGAAATACTAGTAACAATTACGTTGATGAAATGAAACAGCTTTATTATCGAGATGAATTCAGTAAAAATGTTCAAGATTGGAATGCATTGAGAATTGGAAGTGTTGAAATAGCACTTACACGTATAGTTCTACCGAGTTTGAAAAAAGAGTTAAGAGCAAATCTTATTGCGGAAGCTAAAGAATGCGTAATGAGAGCATGTTGTCGTAAAATGTACAATTGGATCAAAGTTGCGCCTTATATCTGTGAATTTCCAGAAGAAGAAGATGAGGAATGGGATACTACAAAAGGACTTCGAGTTATGGGTTTAGCTTATGTTCCAGATTATTCTCAAGCCGCGTTTGCTTGTTTAATTGCTCCTGATGGAGAATGCACAGATTATTTAAGATTACCACACTTGATGAAACGGAAGAATAGTTATCGAGAAGATGAAAAAACCATGAAGGAAGCTGACTTGTTAGCAATCAGAAATTTTATAGCGACAAAAAAACCGCATGTTGTAGTAATAGGCGGTGAATCGAGAGAAGCAATGATGATCGCTGCTGACATTAAGGAATGCATTGCAAATCTAGTAGAAGAAGAACAATTTCCAAATATTAAGATAGAAATTTGTGACAATGAATTAGCTAAAATCTACTCAAACAGTAATAAAGGTATATCCGAATTTCGGGATTACCCAGAATTATTGCGACAAGCTATTTCATTGGGTAGAAGAATGCAGGATCCTTTGGTAGAATTTTCTCAATTATGCACTGCTGATGAAGAAATTTTATGTTTAAAATATCACATTTTACAAGATCAATTACCAAAAGATGAACTTTTAGATAACTTATATTTAGAATTTGTGAATCGCGTAAACGAAGTCGGTGTTGATGTAAATAAGGCCGTACAACAAGCTTATTGCGGAAATTTAGTTCAATTCGTGTGCGGTTTGGGGCCAAGAAAAGGACAGGCATTGATCAAAATGTTAAAGCAAACCAATCAGAGATTAGAAAATAGAACGCAATTGGTAACTGCTTGTCACATGGGACCTAAAGTTTTTATTAATTGTGCGGGTTTTATTAAAATAGATACGAACAGTTTAGGAGACAGCACTGAAGCTTATGTAGAAGTTCTTGATGGATCTCGCGTACATCCCGAAACATATGAATGGGCAAGAAAAATGGCAGTCGATGCTTTGGAATACGATGACGAAGATGCTAATCCTGCTGGAGCACTCGAAGAAATTCTCGAATCTCCTGAGAGATTGAAAGATCTTGATCTGGATGCTTTTGCGGAAGAACTCGAGAGACAAGGTTTCGGCAATAAATGCGTTACACTATACGATATCAGAGCAGAATTAAATTGCAGATATAAAGATTTACGTGTACCATATCAATCGCCAAGCGCAGAACGATTATTTGATATTCTAACGAAAGAAACCCCAGAAACATTTTATGTAGGAAAATTAGTATTGGCTACGGTGATAGGAATAAGTCATAGAAAACCACAGGGTGATCAATTAGATCAAGCTAATCCTGTAAGAAATGATGAAACTGGATTATGGCAATGTCCATTTTGTTTGAAAAATGATTTTCCTGAACTATCTGAAGTATGGAATCATTTTGATGCCGGAGCTTGTCCTGGCAAAGCTACTGGAATTAGATTAAGATTAGATAATGGAATATCTGGTTATATTCATATAAAAAATTTATCTGACAGACATGTTGCGAATCCGGAAGAAAGAGTAAGCATAGGACAAATAATACATTGTCGAATAATAAAGATTGAAGTGGAGCGATTTAGCGTCGAATGTACGAGTAAAAGCAGTGATCTCGCGGATAAAAATCATGAATGGAGGTATAGAAATATGTATTTCAAAATTTTAGTATCTATAATATTTTAAGATTGAATATATTGATATCGAATATTTTTTTGTTTTCAGACCACAAAGAGATCCATTTTACGACACCGAAACAGAACAAAGAGATGCAAAAGTTGAAGAAGATGCAAAAAAAGCGAAGCAACGTCAGACATATGTAAAACGCGTAATCGTGCATCCTTC